CAAAAAACTTAGAAATAACCCAATTAATAAATGGGCAAATAAACTAAACAAACACTTCTCAAAAGAGGAAATACAAATTGCCAACATGAAAAATGTTCAATGTCATTAGCAATTAGGGAAGTGCAAATCAAAACTACCCTGAGATTTCACCTTACTCCCATCAGAGTACATAGCCATTAAGAATACAAATAATGTTAAGTTCTAGAGTTGATGCTGAGTAAAAGGAACACTTTTACATAATTGGTATAAATTAGTACAACTACTATGCAAGTCAGTATGGAGGTTCACCATCTAGCAATGGAACAACCGTTATGATCCAGCTATACCAGTGGTTCCATTCCTAGATGAGGAATATTTATCCTAAAGAGTTATCCTAAAATATTTATCCTAAAGAGTTAAAGTCTTTATATTATAGAGGATACATGCATACCTATGTTTATGGCAGCACAATTCTTAACAGCCACACTATGGAACTAGCATAGGAGTCCATCAGTGGGGGAGTAAATAAAGAAAATGTGTTGTATATACACAACAAAGATTTATTCAGTCATCAAGAAAAATAAATTTATGTCATTGACAGAAAATGGATGAAACTGAAATAAGTCAAACTCAGAAGGGTGGCATGTTTCTTTCCTATGCAGAAGCAAGAGGGGAGAAAGGGATGGGAGGTTCTCATGAAAATCAAGGAGACATCAGTAAAGTAAAGGGAGCAGCAAGAGGGAGGAGGGGCAAGAGAGGGGAACTACTGGGGAATGACACTGGACAAATTATATTGTTATACTGTGTGCATGTATGAATATTAACAAATCCCACCATTATGTACCACTATAATGCACCAATAAAAATGCAGCAAAAATTGGTAAGTCACCCTATGAAAAAGGACACAAATCACTGGAGATGCAGAAAGAGCATTCATTAAAACACTGAGCTGACATATCCCTAGAAAAAATGGGAAGAGAAGGAAATTTCTCTTGATAAGAGTAAAAACAACAAAAAAGGAGATGGGCTTAGAGAGAGAGAGAAAAAAAAAAGGAAACTACAGCAAATGGCATCCTCAATCCTTACTGGTGAAATATCATCAATTAGAGGTCCTAGCCAACATACTAAAACAAAACACATACACAGATTAGAGAAAAAGTGACTTCACAGATAAGAAATTCACAAAAACTCAAAAGTTTAGTGGTAGGCAGCAAAAAAAAATATAAACAATAAGAAAAGATAATTTCAGAAAATATCATTTATAATGTAGTAAAAATGTAATGTAGTAAATTTAACAGAGGTATTAAGACTACTGTAATTATAAAATTGAAAGACATTACAGGCCTCAAAATTAAGAATGTGCTGCATATTCAGGTAAATATTATAATGATAGCATTTTTCTCCACAATGAGCTAAAGATTTAAAGGTGATTCCAATTTAAATCCAACAGGATTTTTGTGTGAAAGTGAATTCCTAATTATAAAACTGAACATGGAAGAATAAAGAGTCCAAAATAGCCATAATATTCCAGAACAACAAGGTGTTGGGGATTGATCTGAAGTATCGCCAAACTATTATGTTTAAGAGTATGACAGTGGCACCAAAAACAACAGAATAAAGAGAATAGAAGACATGTGTGTCAACAGAAGCCTGATAGAACACAGGTGGTTCTGCTTATTGATGAACCAACTGATTACTCAATGAACCAAATGATTACTTAATAAACCAACTGATTACTCAATGATCCTGAAACTACTGATGAACCACATGGAGAAAAATGAAACTAAATCTCTACCTCAAACCTACACAAGTCAATTACAGATGGAAAGGACTTGGATACAAAAAACAAAACTTTATAACTTTTGGGTTAAGATGAAAACTGACTATATAACCTTCAGATATAGGAGAATTATTAAACAGGACCTAAAACTCACAACCGATAAGATTAATACATTTGGCAAACTGAAAACAAAAACTTTTCTTCCTTAACAGACCAAAAAGAATGAAACACACAAAACATGAACTGAAAATAGGTATCTACACAATCAAAAAAT